ACAGGAAGATCTGATTTAAATGGGAAAGGGTCAAGGTCTGGTCAAGGTTATACAAATATAGAGCACAGACCTTGTCTAAAAGAGAGTGGTTTGAGAACACTGGCTCCAGAAGCTCTTTGCTGTAAATCAAAGGTCATCTTTGTTTCCATTATTCAGATGTCCTTTACAAATCCTGGCCACCATTGCTTTTTCCTGACAGATGTATGGGTTGTCCTCCAAGTCATTTATCACAGGAGATCAGAAGCCAAGACTCCAAGATAGTCTGAAGGATAGATAGTTGAGCTGCTCATCTCAAGCTATGAAGAGGAATTGTACAGGACTATTGATAATGTTATTCTGTACCAGAAAGCCCATCCTCCGGACAGGTTTTTGATTTTGTTGTTGTTTTGGTGTCTTTGTGCCAAAGGGCAATATCATATCCTGTGTATGTATCCTCATTCCCCCTGGAGTGTAATAAACATTGATTATTCTAGAATATGTGAATATGGAGGGAAGGCTGGACTCCAGAGCATTTCTACTGCAGTCAGGTCAGCTGGCCCCTGAAGCATAGGGGCAGATGTGAGGGTAGGCAGAGAAGTATCCAGGAGAGGACCCCACTGCAGACCCCAAAAGCAGTGATACTTTGCTTTTAAGTTCCGTCTTTGGCAATATCCTTCTCCTATCACTCTACCTCCCTGAACAAAACTCATTTGGGAGCTTCCTTTCAAGATCTTCAAGAAAGAAAGGCTCATGTCATTTTCTTCCACTCTACAGCCAGACTCTGGAAGAATAATCTGTGGAATAATGTGGGGAATGACAGTTAAAGGAAGAAAAGAGGGGGGAGAGAAACATTCTCTTAGCAGAAACTGAGGCCTCTTGTTCCATCTTGTAACTTTCAACTTTCCTATCTACCAAATCAGTCAGCATCCATACCCATTCTCATCTCTTTTCCCCTTCAAATAAAGTTCTCTTTTGAAGCCAATCTTGTACCCTCACCTTCTCCCTTCCTCTCAGACCTTGATCCACCTGCCACTCTCTCTCATACTTTATATCTTGTTCCTGCTATTTCATAACTAGGCTTATCACTAACCTTTACCATTTTAACCTGCCATTTCAAACCCATATGTCCCTCGAACTAAGCAACAATTAACTTTCCTACTGTTATCTGTATTTTCTCATTCTCAACTGGCTTATACTTCTATTTATGTCACCTTAAGGTCCTAATGAGTATTTAAAAAATCTTTTAAAATTAAACTCATATAGGGGTGCCTGGGTGGTTCAGTCAGTTGAGCAGCCAAGTCTTGGTTTCAGCTCAAGTTGTGATCTTGCAGTCATTGAGATCGGGCCCAGTGTGGAGCTCTGTGCTCAGTGCAGAGTCTGTTTCAGATTCCCTCTCCTGCTCTCCACCTCACACACACACACACACACACACACACACACACACACACACACACAGTATCTCTAAAAAAATAAATATCTTTTTATAAAATAAATTAAATTAAACTCATATACATATGGAAAAATGCATGAAAGTGTACAGTGCAAAGAATGATCACATAGCGAACACATCTATGTATGTGCCACTAGATAAAGAATTAGGACAATCCCAGCACCCCAGAAGCCCTATGGTATTCTTCCAATCATTACTTCATAAATCCTTCCTTCATGAGTCTTCCATCATCCTGGCTTCTCATACCATATATTAGTTTTGCTTGTTTTTAACTTTATATAGATGGAAACTTACATTATGTGCTCTTCTGTGTCTGGTTCTTTGGCTCAACATCACGTTTATGTGGTGTAGCCGTGTCACAAGCAGCAGGGATTTATTTACATCTTCACTGCTGTACAGTATTCCATTGTAAGAATATGCCACGATCTATCCATTTCAGTGTTTAGGAACATTCGAGATCATTTTCAGTTTGAGGCTATTTCAAATAGGATTTCCATGAACATCTGTGCATGTCTTTCTAGTGTACATGTGCACATATTTCTTCATCTGTTTTCAAAGGAAGGAACTAGTTTGGTTGGGACCACTGTAGAATAGGTTGGGAAAATTAAGGCACCACAATATTCAGCCAGCTGGACAGGTCGATCATGAACAACTACTGTACTTAGACAGAGAAGCATAGGACAACAATGCAGCCAAAAGAAGATACTTGGGGAAGAGATATGTCCTTGCATGTGGATGTAACATGCAGAGAATAGGGAACAGAAACAGACCATGTAATTATGTACAAAATTGCATAGGCTCAGAATACAGACAACTTTTAGAACCTCCTGGCAAAGACTAGACAGTTTAATACCAGGGCTGGATTCTCTACTCCTGCTCATCCACCCTGTCTGTGACAGGAGAGGTACCTGGAGGCCATTCTTAGGAGAAGGAAAGGAGCTGTAGGTCTGAGGGTCATTTCTATGGATCCCAAACACATTTCTGCCCCTGTCTTCTGCCTCCCACACATGAAACTGAGACTAAAACTTCTGTGGAGACACTTCAGTTGGATTCTGCACACCTTCCACACTTCCCACCCTACAGATGCAGGTCTGGGAGGGAGAGGGGAGACGCACAGAGGGCGCAGAAGCAAGCGGGGTGAATCGGATGCAAATTTTAGTCGGACAACGAAAGCTTGTACTCTCTGCATGTTTGAAAACCAATGAATATAAGAAGGATGGAGAAGGAGCTGAAAGGCTGTAGGGGGTTTCCCGTTAGACCAGGAGTGCCTACAGCTGCATCTGACATCATTATCATCCCTTGCATTTGGGTCCCATAAGAGTCCACAGAGAGCTTTCTGTTCCCTAGCTTCCACGTCTCCGTGGGGTGGAAGGGGAGGGATTACCCCCACTTGGCTGATTTGCCCAAGAACACTCTGGAGGAAAGGCAGGGTCAGAATCCTCGGCGCTCCTGTCCCTCCTTGGAGCCCAAAGAGTAGCCAGCCCTTGGCTCGCTGGTTCTCAGGGAAGTGGAATAGGGAGAGGAGTGCGGGCACGTGCCGCGCGGGCGCAGGACACCGGGGGCTCGGACGGTCCCGGGAGCTCGGATGGTCCCGGGAGGCTCGGACGGTCCCAGGAGCTCGGACGGCCCCGGGAGGCTAGGACGGCCCCGGGAGGCTAGGACGGTCCCGGGAGGCTAGGACGGTCCCGGGAGCTCGGACGGCCCCGGGAGGCTCTGACGGCCCCGGGAGGCTCGGACGGTCCCGGGAGGCTAGGACGGTCCCGGGAGGCTCGGACGGCCCCGGGAGGCTCGGACGGTCCCGGGAGGCTCGGACGGTCCCGGGAGGCTCGGACGGTCCCGGGAGCTAGGACGGCCCCGGGAGGCTAGGACGGCCCCGGGAGGCTCGGACGGTCCCGGGAGCTTGGACGGCACACCGACGGCGCGGGGGCGGGGGCGCTGGAAGGTGCAGGGCTGAGCGGCCTCCCGGAGCTCCGCGCCCCCTGGGTCGGGAGCCCCCGGAGCAGGGCGGCGAGACAGGTCGCCGGGCAGGTCGCGCGTCCCGGGTGCCCCGCGGCTGGGGGCGGGGGGGGCGGTGGCGCCGCCCCGTCCCGGACGCGCGTGAGCGCCCTCGGCCAGCCCGCGCCCGCAGCCCGAGGGCACAGCCGGCCCGCCCAGGTGCGCCGCCCGCCCCCCCGCGGGAAAGCGAAAGTGCGGGGCCCGCCCTGGACCCGGGACGCCCGCCCGCAGTCGCCGGGCCATGGACGGGCTCGGCCGCCGCCTGCGAGCCAGCCTGAGACGGAAGCGCGGCCACGGGGGTCAGTGCGGGCGCGGGGGGCGCGGGGGTAGGGGGTGCTGGGTGCGGGGGCGCTGGCTCCGGGGCCCGGGGCGGGGAACCCGGGGCGCGGGGGTGCGGGCGGGAGGGTGCGGCGGCGCTGGCTCCGGGGCGCGGGGTGCGGGGGCGCTGGCTCCGCGGCCCGGGGCGGGGGCGGGGGGCGGGGGGCGCTGGCCGGCCGCCAGGTGCGCGAGGTGGGGCGCAGGTGCGGGGGGCCGGGCCAGGTGGCGCCCGGCCGGAGGCCAGCGGAGCGGCCGGGCCCTTGGGGGCGCGGGGGGGGTGCCGAGGAAGCCATGGTGGGGCCCCGGGGCCACGCGTCCCTCCAGCCAGGAAGCCGTGGCGTAACCGCGGGGTGCTCGAGGCGCCCCGGGCCCGGCCTCAGCCCCGCCCCGCCGCTGGGCTCCCGGAAACCCGGCTCCCGACGCGACCGCCGCTGCCTGCACCTGGGGGCGTGGCCCGGCCAGTGCCGCCCCGCCCCCGCCCCCGCCCCCGCCCCCGCCCCCGGCCGAGCCCGCCCCGCGGCCGCTGCCTCCGGGGCCCCGGGCCTCCTCACGCCCCCCTCCCCCGCAGGGAAGCAACCCCGGGCCCTGGGGCTCCGCTGCGGCCCCCTGCGACCCCCAGCGCGCTGGGCGCTGCTGGCGGGAGCTCCTGCGTTCCGGCTTGCAGGAGCCCGTCCTGAGGCTGCGCACAGGACCCCGTAAGCCCTTTGCCCAGAGGCCCCACTTACCGAGGAGAAAGGAGCATTGAAAGTAAATCGGGGTGCCTTCAGACACTGGCAATCAAGAGTTGAAGGAGACCCCTTCCTCTTCCAGCCCCCGGAATGGCGGAGGCCCCGTGAAGGCATCAGCGCTCCTTCTGTGGCCGCGCGGGCGGGCACCCCCAGTCCTTGCTGCGCCCCCTAAACACAGGCGTCCAGTATCAGGTCATTTCAAGGAGGAGAGGCCAGAGACCGAAGTGGGGGCAGGGAGCGGGACCAATGGCTGGAGCAGAGTTCAGCCCTTCTGGCGGGCCTGGTGTCCTCTGCTCTCTGGAGGGTACTGGCCTGGTCTTTCCAGGGCTCCATCGCCTCCGAAATGTGTGTGAATTGAAGAGTTCTGCTTTTTTGCAGCTCAGAGGAAACATTGCAGTTGTTCCCACCCACCCCAGCCCCAAAACTGGGCTGATGACTGTGTCTGGAGCAGCTTCCTGGGCATGGGGTAGCTGTGAGATGAGCAGCCTGTATTACCTGTCCTGAGGTCAGCCACTTGTCAGGCCAGAAGAACGTGCCCTCCCCATCTATTATACCATCCTCCACCTTTCTGGGGTGTTCCCCTTCTTTTGTCCTTTCGGGCTCAGGGAAATTGTGTGGTAAGAGGGTGTGTGTGTGTATGTGTGTACATGGTTTGTAAACCATCCTGGTGGGAAGAAGTGGCAGTGGTGGTGTTCCTAAGCTGAGAGCAACAGAGCTAGAAAAGGAAGGGCTCGCTTTCCAAATCAAAGTTCCAGAAAGTCCCCTCACCTATATTCTGGCTGGTTCTGTGACTACTCAGGTGGTGTGGGAGGGGCATCCTGTTGGAGGAACAAGTGTAACCAGACTCCTGACTTCCCTAGAAAGGGTGGCTCCCTCCTCAACTAAAAAACTCAAGATAGTAATTTCATCCCAGGGCCCTGGGGATTAAATGAGCTGACCTATATTAGTAGGAGAGAGTGCTTTCTCTTTGGCTTTTCTCTTCTGTTGATAAACCTTTTTGAAAAGAAAAAAAAGAAAAAAAAAGTTCTTTTTTTTCCAGATTTCTTGGGCTTCAGCCCAAAAATCTAGTAACTTCTTTTGTTTGATTTTGTGACTTTTGCTGTTCTCCTGGCTCTCCTGAAAAAACAGGAGGAAATGGGCTGAAAATGCAACTCAAAGGCTTTAGGGAAAGGAATAATTTCCTGAGGTTCTGGAATGATCAGTGAAACGATTTGGGTTTCTCAAAGACTTGCAAACAGGAGGCACCTCACATTTGTGGGATGTTTGGTATGTACTGCCTCCGGAAGGTGGGAGCATAGACTTGGAACTCTCGTAATTCCTACTCCCAACAGATTCTATTAATAGTCCCTGGATTATTCTGTGCCTCAGTTTCCCCATCTGTATCAGGCAGATACTTGTTCCTCAGATAGGTGGTAGGGATTGGGCAATAAGTCTGTGCAGATTTGTAAGGCAAATCTTGCCTTTGTGATGACAGTTTTGAGTATTCTGGGTCATTGTCCTCACCATTACAGCATTTGTGACATCCTTACTTGTTTGGAGTTCTCCCCATGAGTCACGTCTGGGCCCCTGAGTACTGGCTTTCACTAGTCCCACAAAAGCCTGCCCTTTTTTTTCTAATTGGAGTTCGAATGCCAACATACAGCATATCACCCAATGCTCATCCCGTCAAGTGCCCCCCTCAGTGCCCATCACCCAGTCACCCTAACCCCCCTCCCACCTCCTCTTCCACCACCCCTTGTTCATTTCCCAGAGTTAGGAGTCTCTCATGTGCGGTCACCCTCACTGATATTTTCACTCATTTTCTCTCCTTTCCCCTTTTTTCCCTTTCACTATTTTTTATATTCACCAAATGAATGAGACCATATAATGTTTGTCCTGGTCTTAAGAACAAGGCAGCCATCTTCCCTCTTCCAACAACCCACTTTCCCCCAGAGGGCTGCTAATTCTTTGCTGGAGTGGCAGAGGCTGACACCAAACCCTTTCACCTCCTGGCTCTTACCCCATGCATTTAGTCATGCAGCAGTTTACATGAGAATCCTAGGTGATTTGTTGCTCTTTTTCTCTCTTCTCCAGCCTCCAGACACAGCCTCTAGACAACACTAGAGCCCAAGGGGCCAGGTACTCTGCTTTTAGCTTGGGCAGAACTTTTGACCTGGCCCAGCAGGCAAAAACGACTGAACAGGAGTGGGGCAGAGATCAGCCCAGTTGCATTCCACCATCACTGAGTGACCCCCAAGGCTGCTGATGCATCCAGTCCCCTCCTGTAGGCCAGGGAGGATGACCTGAGGCGGTGCTTCCTATTTGGGAAGAGGGATTCTTTGCTGGAGCCCTGGGAACGGGTCCCGTGAGAGAAGTCAGTCTTAGGATATATTGCAGGGGGTGAGAGATGGACCACTGTACATCATCCTGAGGTGTCAGGAATTCTCCAGCTCGGAGATGGATTTGCTCCTATTTTTACCTCCAGGAGAGGAGAGTTTTAGGTTCGGATCAATTTCCAGGACTCTCTCGCTAGAAAAAAATTTCCATTTGGAGAATTAATGGGCCAAGTCTATTTATCTCCCTCAGGGGAGGCAGTGCCATGTTGGCTGTGGGGGAATGTTTGGGCCTGTGCCCTGCTTGCAGTCCTGAAGCTCTGGAGACTCCAGAGTGCAGCGATGGGCCTTGCAGGGTTTTTTTGGTGGTAGTGAATCAAGTTGAGATATGAAAGGTCAGGAGTCAAAGTTATGGGATCTAAGATCCCTGTCCTGGGGCTGGTGAGGTTCCAGTGTCCACAGTCTGCTGCTGGGCCTTCTTCCCTGTCCCGAGGTTGTGAATAAACTCACTGCATAGTGTGCAGCCCAGAATTCAAAGCCTTTAGCCCAGAAGCAGCTGGGCCTTGGAGGTGTTTGCTCCTGACCTTTTCTCTTGCCACACCCTGGGGCTCTTGGGAGGAGCTGAGGTCTGAGCTGCAGTGCCAGGATGCTGCCTTCTTGATGCGGTCGTTTTGTTGCCTTCCTGGGTCCCGTCACATCCTTTTTGCTCAATCATTGGGTGCTCGGGATGGAAGCCGCCCTCCCCTATCTGGAAGGCAGCACATGGCGTGGCTTCATGGAGCTGTGGTTGGAGACTGAAGCGGCAGCCCTTCTCTCAGGCTCTCAGTAGCCAGTCTGTGTTGGAGGAAGGGGAAGCACTCCATGCCCCGAAAGTTGGAGAAGATGGAAGGACAAGTGGTAGGCGGGATGCTCAGGCTCTTCCGCAACCGGCTGCCTCGACTCCGAGCAGGTCTGGACTGGATTGCCCACTTCCTGTTTTCTAGGGTGACCCTCTTCGATGAGGCTGTTTCTTCCTTGAAATGCTTCTTCCTCCTCCTCTTAAGTGTAGAGTCTTTTATAGTTTGACCTCCACTTGGTCCCCCATGTGACTAGGCCAGGATGCTTCCTTCCCCTATTAGATTTTAGAGCTGGTCATGCCCTCTCTGGTCACAGACACATGGCCCTGGGATCTATTCTGATTTGGGTATGTGTCCATTTGGGGCTTACTGTTTCAGGTACTGCCCTGGGCACCCATGGGTGAGCACAGTTTTTACCTCTGGGGCAGAGGGCCTCCCAGCTGGCTCCCCAGTACATTTCCTTGGCTTCCAAATCAGGTTTCTGTCCTCCTCTTGGCTCCCTGTGCTTTCACATATCTCCCAGGGTAGGCTCCAAAACTGCCCAGTTGGCCCTGACCCTGTTCCAGGCCCGGAGGAACTGGGCAGGCTCCAGGGACCTCAGCGTTGGCATGTGGGGTCCGAGGTGCAGAAGTTGCCTGGAGCCACACAGACCACTCGGGGCTCCGGCCACTGAGATACCAAGTGGGCCCTGGTGTCTTGGTTTCAGGATCTCTCCAGGAGAGGGAAGCTGTAAAGGAACCGGAAAGGGCTCAGGAGATCAGTCTGCCCACCTTTGCTGGAGGGCAACACTTCTTTGAATACCTCCTGGTGGTTTCCCTCAAAAGAAAGAGTTCAGGGGATGACTATGAGCCCATCATCATCTACCAGTTTCCCAAGGTAAGGGCTGAAGGAGAGGGCAGGGGGAGCCAGGATTTGGGTGGCAGGAGGGTAGGGGTGGAGGTGCCCTCTCCCCCACTCCACCCTGTGGGCTTGAGTCTAGGGCCACCCTGTGCCCAGTGCTCCTATTTCCTTAGGGCCCAGCCCTGTTTCCTGTTATCACCCACAGAATCTAGGTCTGGCTTCTTTGTGAGGAACTGACCTGGGCTCCCTAGCTGGGAAACCAGGCTGGTTCTTCTGCCCCTTTGGGCCTCGTCGCTCTTCCAAATTCCCCTCTCAGTCCCCTTGTCTAGAGAGGCTTGCCTTGTGCCAGGCCCCTAGCAGGCCTCCCTGGGCCGGGGTGGGTGGGAAGGAGAGGGTGGGGCAGGCTCACAGCTGGTGGGCAGGCTCAGCCTGTGGCCACAGCCCAAACACCAGGCTCCTTCTTGTCTGCTCCGCACTGGGGGAGGGGTGGGGACAGGGCATCCTTCTCGTTAACCCCGTTAACCCCGACAGGACAGCTCGACAGCTCAACAGCTGAGGTGGCCGCTGCTCTGATGTGGTGGTTCTCTCATGCGGCCCTCCCAGGAGACCAGGCAGCCTCTGGGCCTTTCTGGATTCAGTGAGGCCCTGGCCTCCTCCCTGCCTGTGTGGATGTGTAGGGTGCTGATGTCTCACTCAGGCTCATGCAGACTTGGCCTGGGAGGGGCTTTCAGCCTGAGCTGGCCTGCCCCGGAATGAAGTCCCTGTGCAGAGGGACAGGCAGAGGCACCTGCTGAGCCCCCAGGAAAGCTGATTCTCAAACTGCTTCGGAGCCGCCAAAGAAGCCTGCCAACCCCCCAGCCCTCTTCTCCTGCCCCTACCTCCACAAGTCACTGGTCTCTTTTGCCATTCCTTCTAGCGGGAGAACCTGCTTCGGGGCCAACAGGAGGAGGAGGAGCGGCTGCTCGGAGCCATTCCCTTGTTCTGCTTCCCAGATGGGAATGCGTGGGCACCGCTCACTGAGTACCCCAGGTGACTGCTTGGGCCTGGGACAGAGGAATCTGGTTCTGGGGGGGAAGGGACAGGTGTGAGCTCTGTGGGTCCCCTGGCTCCCTCACCTGCTGTGTGTGCGGGGTTCTCACCAGCTTCCCTCCTGACGGGGTGGGACTAGAGTTGATTCACTTAGGAACATCTTGCCTGGAGTCCCCCAGGGTCAAGGATCCTGGCCAACTAGGTTAACCAGTCAGTCGCCTATGTCCAGAGAAGGGCAAGGCTGTCTCACCCATCCTGGGAATGACCGTTGCCGTGTTTTGACTGCCTCTGGCAGAAGCCAGACTTTGCAGAAAGCCCTTGGCTTCTAAGAAAGCAATGTGGCAAAGTCCCTTTCAGTGTCAGCCCTGGAATTTGGCTGCCTGAGTTTGGATTTTGGCTTTACCACTTTTGAGCTAAATGACTTTGGATAAGAATCACCTCAGCCTCAGTTCCTTTGTGTTTCAAGTGGGGAAGAGTAATTGAACCCACCTCAAAGGGTTGTTTTGAGAATTAAACGAGGTGGCCTGTGTAGAGCTGGATGCCAATAAGCACTTAATAAGTTACTGATGTGGTTACTACTCTCATGATTAATCGGCAGCTCCCCTCTGCCCTCCTGACCCCCGCCCCCCTCAGCATCTCTCTGAGACTGACTGACTGCCTTCTGATTTTAGGATCCAGTGAGTAAATGCAAATATGTGTCTGTTCTTTTGCAGGGAGACCTTTTCCTTTGTTCTGACCAACGTGGATGGGAGCAGGAAGATTGGATACTGCAGGCGCCTCTTGGTTTGTGCTGCTCAGAACTGCCCCCTCCTCTCTGCAGCCCGCTCTGCTCCGCAGCTGGGCTTGCTCGAGCTTCAGCTGCAAAAGCCAAGGCTCCCTGGCAGTGGTGGTTGCAGGGAGAGCACAGCCCAGTACCGGCTGCCATGTTAGTGCCCTCTGCAACCCTGCAGGAACGGGGACACAAGCCCCTCCTTGGCTGCCCAGGGGACCTTTGCTGGCCTTGCTTTGGTCTCTGCCCTTCCCAAGCTCTCAACAGCTCACCCTGGGGGCGGCTCCTCATCCTCTTTCCACCTTCTGTACCCAGGCCTGTCTGCCTCAGCTCCTGGAGCCTCCCAGAGCAGAGACTGGGATTCAGACGGTAGTTCTTGGGTCTCCAGGGGATTCTCCAAGTCACTGTTACAGTGCTGTCCTCTCCAGCCAGTGTTCTCTCCACACCACACTTGCTCCCTTTCTCTGCAGACCCCAGATGGCGCTGGTGCTGATGGTGGCGGTGCTTGGCCCCTTCAGGGCCATCTTCTTTTGGCTTTGGTGGCTGCTCTGGCCTCCCTGTTGCCTGGGCCACAAACAGAACCTCTACCCAGCCAGGCCTTTCTCCATCTGACCCACCATTGCCCACGACTCCCCCAGCCCCACCACCAGCCTTCTGCCCCATCAGCGCCAGCTGGGAGAAGCCCTAGGGAGGCAGCAGCGCTGAAGGAGCCTCTCTGTCCCTCCACAGCCCGCTGGCCGTGGCCCTCGTCTTCCCAAGGTGTACTGCATCATCAGCTGCATCGGCTGCTTCGGCCTGTTCTCCAAGGTAGAGGTGGAGTGGGATTCCTCGGGGCCTGTTGGGCCTGTTCAGCATCCTGGCTGCCTGACCCACCTGTGTTCCCTGGGCCTTTAGTGGAGCTCTTCCCTCACAGCTGGGGTCAAACCAAGGCACACTTGGGGAAACTGAGGCAGAGAGGTGCTTGGGCTCCACTTTATTTTCGAGAAGAGTGGGAACTGAGCCCAGGGACTGTCTCCCCTGAAGAGAGCCCATGCTCCCCCTCTGGTCAGGTAAGAAAGCAGCTGGAGCAGGACAGCGGGGAGAGCCCCAGGTTAGGGGGTGGGAGTTTCCAGTTCCTCATCAGGCAAATGCATGCAATGATCCCTCACCTCCCTGACTCATTTTCTGGTGTGAGGCTCCAATGAACTGACATGAGAAACATGGGACACTGAACAAATATAAAGACAATTACTATACACTAGGATTCCTGAGACTCCCTCTGACTCCTCTGAGGGTGGAGGTCTGCAGGGCTTCTCCTGTTGGAGCTACCTGGAGCGCCAGGACATCTGAGTCAGTTCTCAGAATGGACGGGGCGTGTCTCGGTGGCCACGCAAAAGCTTCAGGGTGCTCTGCCTCCAGCAGGCCTTGGGAGGATGAGGGCAGGACACTGTCAGCCTTTGCTTGGTGGAGTGTTCATCTGTGCAGGGTTCTGAGGGATGGGGTCTGGCCCTGGTCCTGGCCCTGGCCCTGTGGGCGGGGAGTCACCCAAGAGGCCCAGGCTTCTGGGCTCCCACTGCATCTAGCATGATGGGACATGGTACCATTGTGGACGACCATTTACTCTGGGATGGCTCCTGGGAGAAAGGAGCTTATGTCGGTCTAGGAGAAGGGAGGACTGTGGACTGGTAATGAGGGCAAAAGGAAGAAGCTGCAGGAGATAAACCACAGACTGGGCTCTGCCTGGAGGAGAGGGAAGCAGCTGGAGGGTGGGGTTGTGGGGTGGGGAGAGGCAGGGGGACACTCATACGTGGGGCCTCTACCGCCTCCCAGTGGCTTCCTTTGAGCCTTGAGTCCCACCATCCCTTGCCTTGCAGATCCTGGATGAGGTGGAGAAGAGGCACCAAATCTCCATGGCGGTCATTTACCCGTTCATGCAGGGCCTCCGAGAGGCGGCCTTCCCTGCTCCGGGGAAGACCGTCACTCTCAAAAGCTTCATCCCGGACTCGGGCACTGAGGTGGGTTCCTGAGCGTGAGCCCCTCCCTGGCTGGAGAGGGTGGGCTTTGATGGCACCACTCTCACAGCCCTGCCATTCGTGGGGTTAACACATGAGCCGGGCGGGGACTGGGGCCCACCTGGAATTTGGGGGCAGAGCTGAAAATCAAACCCAAGGTTTCTGATTCTCCCAATCTGATGCTCTCAAAGACCTCGTTAAAGCCACCAAGACTTGTATTTATAATAAAGAAAACCAGTGCCCCCCACACTGCCACTTTTCATCATTCCCCCCACCCCCTTATCTTCCCGTGTGTGTTCAGTGCCTTTACCTTATGGCCTCCACCTGTCTACTTCTTATCATCCATCCCCACCCCTGTGTCCCCACCCCTGTGTCCCCATCCGTGCCTTAGAGGGATGCTACTAAGCAGCCTGGGGCAGCAAATAGCACATTATTTTAAGAATCCCAGTCCTGACCCTTGGCACTTTGGAAGATGGGTGTGTCTCCCTGAACCTTGTCTTCCCCACATAAAATAAGGGGAGGGGTCAGGCTTTTTCCCTTTCTCCAAAAATAAGCACAGAATGCTTGCAATAGTGGATACAATGAGTGTGATTCCTGACCTGGCACCTACCGTCTAGTGGATATACAGACATTAAATAAGTAAACACATGGATAAAGTGCATAGTTTAACAAGGCACAGCAGTGACAAAAGGGAGGAAACACGATGGGAAACACACATTAGCGAGGGCCTCTGAGGCAGAGGGAGGGGGAGACAAGAAGACTGAGCCCGGGTGGGGTGGGGGAGCCAGCCTGAGAAGGCCCTCAGGCAGGAAGAGCACAGTGTGGGCCAGGCCAGGGACGGGGGTCAGCGTGACCTTTGGTGCTGAGGGAAACCAACCGTGGACGGGCTTCCAGCAGGGGACGGGCAGGGAGAATCGAGTGGAGACCAGCAGAGACCCAGCCTTCCAGGACTCTGGCACCTTCCAGGGTGGTGATGCCTCCTCTCTCTGGTTCCCCTGCAGTTCATCTCCCTGACGCGGCCCCTGGACTCCCACCTAGAACACGTGGATTTTAGTGTTCTGCTGCGCTGTCTCAGTTTTGAGCAGATCCTTCAGATCTTTGCCTCTGCTGTGCTGGAGAGAAGAATCATCTTTCTGGCAGAAGGTCTCAGGTGGGTCTGGCTGCTGAGCAGCTCTCCTGGGCTGACCGGTGCCCCTGGGTTCAGGGGACAGGTCAGAGGGCTTTCTAAGGGAATCAGGCTGTAGGACCCCTGCACTCTCCTTCCTGCCTCTGGGTCTGATTCTGCACCAAGCCTCATGGAGAAACAGCTGTTGCAATTCCCCTGCTTCTGCCTCCAAACTTGATTGCTTCCTCAGCCTGAAGAAAATTCCAGATGTAGCTCTGACCAGGGCATGAAGTGTTCTGGGCCAGCCCAGGTGGAGAGTGGTCCAGATGGGTGCAGTTGTGATTCTACTCTTGATGGCTTAGGGAAGGGAGGGAGGGTGGAGGGTACAGGACAGGGTAAGAAGGTGCATACTGGTATTGAGGTCAAGCTCATCATCCTTAATGGCCAACACATCTCATCTATCCATTTGTTCACTCATTCAAAAAACATTTGTTATGTGTCAACTGTCTGCCAAATGCCAAACATCAGGAAGATACAGACAAACAAGACATGGTCTTTGACCTTAGGGTACGGAGACTCCTGTAATGCTTGAAAGCATAGGTGTTGAAATCAGCAGAACAAGGTTCAAGTCCAATATATTCTTCCACCTGTAGCTCTGTGCTTCCCCTTAGGTCAGTTTCTTAACTTCTTAAAGTCATTATCTCCTTAACTGTAAAATCAAGATAATGATTGCAACTACCTCATAAGGTTGTGTCGAGGATTAATTGAAACAGTGCATACCATACCTACCACCCTGCCAGGCGCACACCTATTGGTAAGAGCTAGCTGGGATTTTTTTTTTTTTGTCTTTTAATTTTACTAATTTTTACTTTTTAATCATTATTTTTTATTAAGTATAGTTGACATACAGTGTTACATTAGTTTCAACATATTGATTCAACAATTCTACACATTATGCAGTGCTTACCAAGATAGGTGTAGTCAACACCCGTCACCATAAAAATTATTACAAGATTATTGACTATATTCCCTATGCTGTACTTTTTTTCATCTCTGTGACTTATTTATTTTATAACTAGAAGTCTGTACCTCTTAACCCCCTTCACTTATTTTGCCCATTCTCCCTCACACTTCCCCTCTGGCAACCACCAGTTTGTTCTCTGTATTTATGAGTAGGTTTCTGCTTTCGTTTGTTTTGTTTTTAAGATTCCACATATAAGTTAAATCATATGGTATTTGTCTTTCTCTGTCTGACTTATTTCACTTAGCGTAGTATCCTCTAGGTCCATTCATGTTGGTATAAATGGCAAGATTTCCTATCTCACATGGCTGAGTAATATTCCATGGTATATACATCTTCTTTATCCATTCATCAGTCGATGGACACTTAGGTTGTTTTTTCATATCTTGGCCATGGTAAATATTGCTGCAGTGAACATAAGGGTGCATACAGCTTTTCACATAGTGCTTTTGTTTTCTTTGGGTATACGCTCAGCAGAATTACTGTACAATAATTGTACCGTGTTTGAATGTTTAAGTTTTTGAGGAACCTCCATACTGTTTTCCATAGTGGCTGCACCAGTTTGCATCCCATGAGCATTGCAAAAGGGTTCCTTTTCTCCATATCCTCGCCAACAGTTGTTATTCCTTGTCCTTGTGATCCTAGCCCTTCTGACTGCTGTCAGGTGATGCCTCATGGTGGTTTTAATTTGCATTTCCCTGACAGTTACTAACAATGAATACCTTTTTGTGTCTGTTGTATGTCCTCTTTAGAAAAGTGTCTATTCAGGTCCTCTACCCATTTTTTTAGTCACATGATGATGATGATGATGATGATGATGATTTTTGGTGTTGAATTGTAGGAGTTCGTTATATATTGTAGATATTAACCCTCTATTAGATATATCATTTACACATCTTCCATTCAGTAGGTTGCCTTTTCGTTGTATTGATGGCTTCCTTTGCTGTACAAAACCTGTTATCCTTAATAATAAGTTCACAGTTGAATATATCCCTGGGCACAGGCGAAGAAGGGTACTGTCATGTCTTGGTCTCTGCCTGTTAGGGGCCTTAAGTCTGAGAAAGATATGGGGAGACATGTGACAGAATGGAGGAGAATATCATGAAACAGTAGGAGACTGACCTATTGCTGTGTACGGGGGAGAAAGCCAATGATGTTGGGCTGACAACCCTCATTCTGTCTTTTAGGGAAGAGGAAGAAAAGGATGTTAGGGACTCAAATGTTAGGCCAGAGGGTCAGGTGAATATCGTGGGTTTTAGAGGAAAGGAAGTTTGGGCAGGGAGTGAGGGCTGTGGGTTGAGCATTCTCTAAAATCAGTGATAACCAAAAAGACACTAGTTGTAGGCCTAATCCTTGTGGGAAGTGGTGTGATTTATTGCTCTGGAAATAGTGCTTCTACTTTGAACCCTGGAGAAAAATGAGAAGTTTCTGTTGTGGCTAGAGCTGGGGCTCCTGTCTTTCCCGAGACCAGTGTATAGGAAGTAAAGGTGACTCCAGGTGCCAGCTGACCTGGACACGGGCCAAGGCTGGCAGGATTTGCCTTGGAGGTGCTCACTTTCTCCAAGGAGATCCCACCACTCCCCACTTCCTTCCCACACTGAGCATGTCAGATCCCTGAAGCACAGGCGGGGTGGGGGGTGCGGGGGACTTCCAGTCAGCCTAAGCCTTGGCTAGACCCTCAAAGACTCAAGCTTTCTAACTCAGGAAGTATAAGCTCCATACCAAGAACTGAAACAGGGTTTCTGCTTCTGTGTTTTTATTGGCCTTGGCATGAGGGTTGTTTGGAGAAATGAAGAGCCATGAAGAAGCCGTGGAGAAGAGAGGCCAGAGAGCAGGGCTGTGTGTGTTGGAGGGTGGGGTGAGGAGTTGGCTGAGCTGTGCTGGAGGCAGTAATCACACAGGGAATGCTTCACTGGAAGGGTGGAGGAGCCACCTCTCTGGGACTTTCCGGGTAGAAATTGCGCAGCAAAGGTTCCTGGAATCTAGGAATTTCCCAAGCTAGCTCAGGCACCAACCTGTTAACTTGAAATAACCTCTAGTGGCCAGAGGGAGCTGTGAGAGGTAAAGACTGGGGCTGAGAGGGTGGAGAACCACAAGGAGGAAATAAGGCTTGGCCTCTCTGCTGTGCTCTACTGTTTACATGTTTGTCTCCTTGACTACAGTGTGAGTTCGTTAAGCAGGGTCAGTGCCTTGAACTTCCTAGTGTCCACACGCTTAGCGCAGTGGTGCGCATATAGAAGGGCTCACCCAGCCATCTGCGGGAGCGATGGCACTCCCTCTTCCCTCTCCTCCCAGCTACCAGTAGCCACAAGCTCTGCGACCAGCACAGCTCCCAGACTTGCTTCTACTTCTGGGGCAGGGGGTGGGGGGACAGGGCGTGTGAAGGGGTAGAGGCGCAGGGAGGCCTCTCTGACTCGTGTTCCCTGTGCCCTGTTCCCAGCACCCTGTCTCAGTGCATCCATGCTGCTGCTGCGCTGCTCTACCCCTTCAGCTGGGCACACACCTACATCCCCGTTGTCCCCGAGAGCCTTCTGGACACTGTCTGCTGCCCCACTCCCTTCATGGTCGGAGTACAAATGCGCTTTCAGCAGCAGGTTATGGATAGCCCCATGGAAGAGGTACGGTGCAGCAAGAAGAAGGTGTTACTCGGAGCCGGGCACAGCGGGAGTCCGACCTGGGCTCTGCGACTAACAGCTGTGTGACCTGTGTGACAGGGGGCGTGGTGCTTCACCTCTTTAAGGCTGAGCTTCTTATCTATGAAATGGGGATGGCAGGGTTCAAGTGCCAGCGATGCAAGGGGAAATAACCTGCAAAAAGCTCATAGCTTGGTGCTTAACACATAGTTGATGCTCAGTAAGTGGCTGCATCCTCCCCCTGAACGATTTCTTTTTGGACCTAAGGGGCAGCTTATTCAGGGGTCATCCAGCTGTCCTAAGCCAGTTAATTCCCAAGGGCAGGCTCTGGGGCGTCCCATCTCTCATCTAGATGCACAAGCACAGCTGGTCTATACAATACACAGCTCACTAGAATTCATTCACATTCCTTGCAAGTGAGCTAACATAGCCCTCCTGCAAACTGTGAGTCTTAAAAGTTGCAGATTTTTGTAGGTAATCTTTTTTCTTTTTTAAATTTATTTATTTTAGAGAGAGAAAGCATCCGTGTGTGTGTGCACGCAAGCAGCGAGAGAGGCAGAGGGAGGAGAAAAAGAATATTAAGCAGGCTCCTCCTCGCTCAGTGCGTAGCCCAATGCAGGGCTCCCTTTCACAACCCTGAGATCATGACCTGAGCTGAAATCAAGAGCCGGGTGCTTAACCCGCTGAGCCACCCAGGTGCCTCCATTTTTTGATCATCTCAGAACTCACCTGGCTAATGAGGCTACAGGTCCAGATCCCCCTTGATTTTTGTCAGCTTATCTCTCTCGTCAATGCCCCAGACACACCAGAGGCCTGGCTCAGTGGTGAAAATGGGCACTGGTAGCATAGGAACAACTCAAAACATGAGCTCTGGTTTGTCAGTAGAAACTTCCCAGAGATTGCATGTCACTATCTCCAGCTACAAGAGTTACTTAGGTATGTCTGCATTGGCTAACCATTAACCCCTCTGTGCATAGGGCTGGCCAAGGGAAGAGGTGGGCTCCCATCATAAACTACTAGAGGCAGAAACCAGCTCTGGTGGGAGGACTTCCTCCATTTGTATAAGAAAGAATGGAGGTCCAGAGAACTCAATGGACTTATTGGAGGCCACCCCAGTAATGATGGAACCTCGCACCATAGAACCAAAGCCCTCCTATACAAAGTGTTGCTGGGAAGTCAAGAAGCAGGCTGTTTCCCTTCGTAGCTTCCCTGGCCTTCCTCAGAAGTGCTGAGTAGACAGGCCCTTTGAAGGAGTCTTTGCCATGTGACTGACTGGGTCAGAGTATCAGCCCCACATTTGGCAATGACTTAAAATGTCCCAACCCTCAGAGTTATGAAACTCGCTGATGCTGCAGTTCCAGCTCCTCCCCTGACAGCCCGGCAGGAAGACACCCCAAGGCCAGCCAGGCTGCAGCTCCTGCTATCCAAGAGCCTTGGCCTATTTTAGTCCTCAGCAGCTGCTCTGTGAAATGGGCAGGGGATGAAGAAGGGGAAGGGCCAGCGACCACTGTGGGTGTGTGGGGATTCTCTGACTGCTCACATGAGCCCTGGGAGGGATTACGCAAGGGACAGGAAGACAGCGAATAGTAGAAAGGTTCTGGGGAACCTTCCCAAAAATATGCTGCATGTACATTCTTAGTTCCCTGAAATGAACAGCCTTCCCTGAATAATACATAGGCATTTGAGCCTATGTAGTCAAGTGGTCTCAGGCCTGGATGAGTTCAGCTTTTCTCCTGATGATGAATAATTATAGGGCCTGCTCTGTCTTTTGGCACACTTTCCGGGCCCTCTTTTTACTTGGAAGGAGGGTGCCTAGAAGGATCATTCACTGTACTGACCAGACCAAAAGTCTAAAGTGAAAAGACAAGCCCCACAGGAATTTAAGTGACCAACCCAGGCTCTGGGAGGATCCTGGTAAACTGTGGAGCACATGCCCTGCCTAAAGAGGCAGCTGCACTCCATTCCATCCAAGCCTGGTCCTTTCGAAACATGGACCAGCCAATGTTAGAGTTACTGACTTTTCAGAAGCCCCCAAACCAAATTTTATGTGAAATTTTCCAAATTAAATATTGGAAACCAACTCAACTATTGAAAAATACTCTGAGGCTCAAAGAAACAGATGGGCAGGTTGGAATCTAACCAGCAGGGCGCCAATTTGTCATGTCAGGTCTGGACTGAGGGCCCCTCCAGCAGTGACACGCTCAGGTGCCAGCCCTGTGTTCACTTCCCCTGCAGCCTGCAGACACGTGGTCTCCTCACTGCCTTTCATTCCCTGTTCCTGTTGCCCTGGGCTCACTCCCTTCGCTTCGTTTCCTGCAGGAAGGCCCAAAGATCCCAGGGAATTTTTTAAAAGTAGGACTCCGGGCAGTTGTACATAAAGTTGTGGTAAGCATTTAAAAGATCAAAAGGTGTCCACGCTGGCCTAGATCTGACCAGAGGGCAGGGAGCACAGTGGGGAGGAGACGGATACAGCAGCTAGGACAGCTGGATCTAGGCTTGGAAACCGGTTCTACGGTATGACCTTGGGCAACTTCTTTGCTTCCTCACCTGCAAAATGGGGATATTGCCTCTAAGTGCACTGGGGGAGGATTGAATGAGAGAAAATGTGCAAAGCTGGTTCAAGTGTGCCGTGTGCTGAGCATTCCATATATAGAAGCCGTGCCTACCATTAGTGTTTCATTAAGAGAGCGACTGGCTCTGATTTCCCTCATCACATTCCTTCCTACCTCAGCGCTCCTCCTCTCCCTTCCTACACCCTCATCGCTTCTCCAAAGGAGGGGAACTGCGGCTTCCAGGGATGGAGAGAGGAGGGTGTCAGGCAGGAAAGGAGAATTGCTGGTGCTGAGTGCTCCTGAGGTCTCTGATGTGCAGGGAATGTGAATGCCATTCGTTCTGTGTTTATTTCAGGTCCTGCTGGTGAATCTTTGTGAAGGAACCTTCTTAATGTCAGTAAGTGTCTGGGCTCCCAGGCCCACCACTGACTCCATCACTCTCATGTCTCCCAAGTTCCTCCTCCTCTGAGCTTGAAGTGCTTTCCTTGGGTGAGAACTCATGCTAGGGAGAGCTCCCCCAAGGAGCCCTCGGCAAAGATGCACACGGCTTCACGAACGACAGTCAGTGCCGGTGCCTTTGGCTCAGGGATGGAAACCCAGTGCCCCAAGGGTACAGGGGAGACTTGCTAATGTTTACAGTCAGACTGAAGGCCAAGAAGCAGCTTCTGTTGCTTCTTTCCTATGTGGCCAATTATTTGGGGGTGGAGTCGGAGTGTAGAATTCACACCTCCCCAGGCTTTCTGCCAACACTGCACTCCTCCTCCCAGACCGCTTGACTTCTTAGCTCTGTCCTCTCCTAGGTTGGTGACGAAAAAGATATCCTTCCACCCAAGCTTCAGGATGACATCTTAGACTCCCTTGGTCAGGGGACCAGTGAGTCACAGAGTAAGTCCTGGGTGCCCCTTATTTTGGGTTTCTTCACAGAACCTGAGGGCAGGATTCCCAACCATCCCTGCCAATCCCACCCAGCAGTCCTGAGCCAGTCCCAGGGGCCTAGATTCTAAGGCAAGTCTGAGTGTGAGATTCTTCCCAAGAAATAGTGGAGAATCCATACCCTGTCTCCCATTTTAATCTGTAATTATGACCCTAATCCTAGCTGCTTCCCCAGGAGTTCTCAGTCGGCCTCATAGCCCCTGGAGGCAGAAGTGGGTGGTTTTTCTGAGTTGGCCTCTGTGTCTCCTGCAGCTTCAGAACAGCTCAACGAGCATGTTTCGGGCCCATTTGTGCAGTTCTTTGTCAAGACTGTGGGCCACTATGCTTCCTATATCAAGCGGGAGGCAAACGGGCAAGGCCACTTCCAAGAACGAGCCTTCTATAAGGCTCTGACCTCCAAGACCAACCGCCGATTCGTGAAGAAGTTTGTGAAGACACAGCTCTTCTCCCTTTTCATCCAGGAAGCAGAGAAGAGCAGGAACCCTCCTGCAGGTAGATGGTGACAGCCCCCTATCATTCCAAGCCCAGGAAGGGTCACTGCCTCCAAGTTGGGCATGGTCCTATGATGAAGAGCACTGGCTCTGGAGGCCCACAAAATAAAATGTAGTCTTGGTGGGGTTGAACTGAAATAACCTGGAGTCTCAAAAGATGCCTCTGAGCTGCCATTTTGTAAAAGTTGCTCTTTATTTTAATCTGGAGCTAATTTCTATTAATTGTTCTATTTGTAGCTCCAGCTTTGGGCCAAAATGAATATCTGGATCTCCAAAGGCCCATAAGGAGATGGGAATCTTGATAGGAATGTGGGTGTGGAGGGGGAGCACAGGAAACAGACAGGTTATTTCTGATCCTCACTCCTGAACTCATCATCATCCACCTGGCTAGATTACAGGCCTCTAACACTGGTGTCTGAACCCACAGGCTACTTCCAACGTAAGATACTTGAATATGAGGAACAGAAGAAACAGAAGAAATCAAGGGAAAAGACTGTGAAATAAGAACTGTGGTCAACAGGAGGGACTGGACTCACAGGCCAGTTTTGGACTTTGGCCCCTGCCAGAATGGTGGGACTGGCAAAGCTCACAGCCTCCAGAATCCACGGCCTCCTCTGAGACCTGGTAACCAGGTCTCGCTTCAGGCTGCTGTCTTGAGTTCGGGGTCCCTGGAATCCACTTTCTCCAGACTCTGGAAGGCTCTGACATCTGTGCTCACAGAGCTGGGCTCCAAGCTGCATGTTCCGCACAGGTGACACAGAGTGGCAGAGTGGCACAGGTGCTATGGAGCCTCAGAAGTTGCTGGGACTGCCCTCTTCCAGGAACCACAATCACAAAATCCTCAAAAGGGAAAGCAGTTGTGGCCCAAGGCTCAGTCTCTTCACATAAAAAAACAAGTCTGTGGATGTGTGAAGATAAGAATAAAGATAAAAATCTTCTTGTTGTTTTTGTGTTATCCTTAACTTCCATTCCAGGGCAGAGAGGGAGAGAACCAGGAGCACAAGGCAACAGGTATGAAAAGCTGGACTGGGGGAGGGGAGGGGACTGGCCGTAGTGGCCCAGAACTTTGGGGCGGCAGCTCCACTTCAGACAAGAAGGTGGGGGGACATGGGTAGAGGCAGCAACAGTACTGGACAGGGCAACAGTTCTCAGTTCCAGTCAGGTGTGTCTTCCAGAATCTGGGAGGAAGGGCTGCTGGCCAGGAAGCACCTGCCATCTAGGGCAACTTGAAGGTAGGAAATTTCAGTTCCCAGAAGCCAGTGAAGGCCTCTACATTGCCTCCAAAGCCAGGTCTGTCTGCCCATCACTTCCGGTTTGGAACCTTCAATCCAACTTCCTACTTGGTTATTTTGAGAAGCCCAGTTCAATCTTTAGCTAAAGGTAGAGGGATTGCTTCATTGTCATTTTCCCTCTTTCAGGAAATAGTATCATCATCTTAAGAACCCAAAGTAGTTTAGTAATCACCTTGTCCATGTTCCCTCTGTAATTTTTTTTTCTTCCAGATTTTATTAGAGTGAGAGAGAGCGAGAGGACCCGCAGTTGGGAAAGAGGAACAGGCCGACTCAGTGCTGAGCCACAGAGCCCGACATGGGCTAGATCCCATGACCCTGAAGATTATGACCTAAGCCCAATCAAAGGCTTCACTGACTGAGCTACCCAAGTGCCCCTTCCCTCTGTGCTACCAATGACAGCTTCTGTTTCAACAGTGTAAGGGATGGGAAGCCTCTTGTCTTTCAAAACTCTCATTTTTTTAATGTATTTTTAATGTATATGTATGTGTGGCCCTCAGAGGTCCCTGAATTCTATACAGAACACAAATGTCTTTGGGGGGTGAGAAAGGGGACTGGGATGGCCAAATTGAAGTTAAAGCCAATGGAATTTGATGTGGGAAGCACAGAGACACACTACCGGTGTCCCACTGTCCACACACCACCTGTTAAGTATGCTGCTACTTTTTGTGAAGAATCACCACATCTTTTTAGGTAGATTAGTTTACAGCGCTGGTTCCTAAACCTAACTGTACCTCAAAAAGTTTGAGAGTAAGGACTGGAATCCTGGGAAGCTTCTGAAAGTACTTTCTGAGGCCTCATCCCAAACCTACCAATCATCTCTAGAGATAGGACTCAGGAAGCGGTGATTTTTAAAGCTCCTTCAGGTGATTCTGTTATCTTACCAGGTATATATGATCTCAAGAAGAGGCAAGGCCAGCTGAGGTTTTCTATAAACATACCCTTGACCTGATGACAATGGTACCAAGAGCTAAGGAAGCACACACCAAATATCTGAGCATTTTCCAGATTCCCTTCATGCTGAAAAAGATTTGAACATTTCAGTTTACAGCTTTTGCCACCCAAACCTACTACGGTGTAGGAGAGAACATTGGACTAGGATTCAGAAGATACGGGGTCTAGTTTCCATTTGGAAAAGTAACAACTGTGTGTCATTGGTATGCCACTTAGCCTCTCCCAGACCTCAATTCCCACTGTAGGTAACTAACATCTGCTGTGTCTATTGCAATAATCAAGCAAGGCAACAGGTATAACTGTACCAAATAAGTAGAATCATTCTTTTTTCCTGCTTTGTCCTAAACTGGACCTGCTCTGGCATTTTCCTCTATGTACTTCTCTACCCCAGACGCTGAAGAAGTTGCTAACAAGCAAAAATAAAGAGAGATTTCTCTTTATTGCTATAGTCGAGCAAAGAAATTGAAAGTTTCACTGTCACTGCTACTCAAGACGATAGTTTATTTTCTTTTGTTTCTTTTCTGCGGTCCCCCTCCCTTCAAGCAACTGTACTATCTACATACAATGGAAACAGATCTGGATTATATCTACTAAAGATATCTGGTCCTCATTTCAAACTGTAGTATATTATGGAGCCAGAATAGACGTACAATTTTTTACTAACTGCCCCAGAGAGGCCTAAACCTCCCTTCTTGAAAATCTAGGGGAAGACATAATCTCAAAGGTAACAAGTACAGCAAAAAAACCTATTGAGAGGGAAAATGAATATAGTTCTGTTTCATTTGATTTTTTATTTTATTTTTTAGTTCTATGTTTAAGTTAAGTAGCTTATACAAAATAGATCGCAGGACACATGACAAAGTGGCTGACTGAATTTCCTTATTTATTAAAGAACAGAAATAAATTTTGCTTAAATTTTAAAAAATGACATTAAAACTCAGTTATCTTTCCACTGAATAAAACAGAAAAAGGCTGGCTTTCAGATCATATATTTATTTAAAAAAATAAAATGGATCAACAAAGTTATCACATTACTCTGCATGCTAACAGGATTTCCCAAACCCATGAGAGATACCATTTCTTGAGCAATAAAAAAATGACTTTCTCAACAATGTAAAGATAGGAAACCTTTCAATCCAAATTCAAGGTCTTTATCACTAATTCCAACTCACAAGCTAGTGGGATATGTCTGTGCCACAAGCTGAGCTCCTTAGTTAAAGAAAGCTTGAGAAGACACTAAACAAGGATGTCACTAAAAGATGATTTGTTAAAATTATAAAGCAACCATTTTTTGGCCTGCAAATATTCTACATTAGAAATCTCCACCACTAGGGATTGGTTCCCCAGGATCCCTGGTTCCCTGAATCCAGGATAATTACAAACACATGGCAATTTTTCCTGCATGCTTCCTTTGGCCAAATCCTGCATGACAATATGGACAATTACAGGATGGAACTTGAAATTCTCATTCTCACACAGGATAGGTAAGGAGTGCTACCAAGAACAAAGAAAAGTTATACAACATTGATTATTATAAATTATAGTTGTTCTTACACACCCCATTCTCCTTAATATGTTCAGATTCTTTCCTGCAAAAAACATGAGTTTCCTATACAACGACACCAAGTTAACTTCATTAATGATGATTAGAATGAGCCGTAGCGACCTTGATTCTGAAGACATGTATGTGTAGGTGAGATGCAATCTGATTGCAAACACTGACACAGTAGCGGATCAAATCAAAGAAAGAGAACACCTGGAAAGAAGAGAGACTATTAGATTCTCAGGACCTGCTTAGGTCATACCTCAGCTTCCTGAAAGCAAAGAGGACGGGCTCCTCTGACTTTCTTCCCTTCTTTTCAGATTTGTTTTCAATTCCATACGATTTAACAACTCAATTTCCTCACGGATTTTTCCTTTACGCAAAGGATCAACAAACCCTTTCCGGAGAGACAGTAAATACTTGAGGTTCTATGGACCATGCCATCTTCATTTCAACTGCTCAACTTTGCCATTGTAGCTTGAAAGCAGCCACAGACAATACATGAATGGCCATGGCTGTGTTCCGATAATAAAACTTCACTCCTGCTCTACACAGTCAGAAATCTGGAATTTTTGAGCCCCGATGAAGGCAACACAAATAAGAATAATGCAAAAAATGGCTCAAAGATGAAACCACGCGAATTCTTGCCAAGTCCTGTAATTGTGGTTTTTTGGTACACCAAATCGTTACCATTATATGATCTTTCAGCACTGGCCCACAGAAACAAGAAAACAAATCATAAAATAAGACACAGTATGATACTTACCAGAGCAATCCAAAGTACAATATATTCATCAATAAAGCTGTTAAAATACTGGTCCAGAAACAAAAGTGCTGGACCTATGAATGCTGTGTCGAGCAGATGCATTTCACTTTTAGTCATGTGTGCCACCTGCAAATAAAAGAGAAATGGATGTGCAGGTGCTTTTACACTAGAGTAACTGTGAGGTGTACAGTAAATCACTTTTGTGCTCAAATCACAAATTTCAAGAATTATTTAGCAACGCTGGATAAAAAGTTGAATTTCCAAAAATAAAAAACTGACAAGGTGTGTGAGAGTTACACACCAAACAGCCCATGTAGCAGAGCCCCTCAAAGATGCTTTTCATAAAGAGCCTTAATCTGAATGTACAGACTGAGACTGGAAAAGGCAGATAAACTAAAGCACCAAATTAAACTGCAGCAGAGGGATCCCTGGGTGGCACAGCGGTTTGGCGCCTGCCTTTGGCCCAGGGCATGATCCTGGAAACCCGGGATCGAATCCCACGTCGGGCTCCCGGTGCATGGAGCCTGCTTCTCCCTCTGCCTGTGTCTCTGCCTCTCTCTCTCTCTCTGTGTGACTATCATAAATAAAAAACAAAACAAAACAAAAAACAAATAAACTGCAGCAGAAAGAAGAGTTATGGAGATCCACAGAGCTTCTGGTAACCTCAGGTTATAGCTTCACTTGTTGATGGAGGAGAATGAACTCTAGAACTGGTCAGGAAGCTGTAGAATGAAAACTGGTGCCATAAAATCAAAATGAGATGAATGTAAAAACAAATAAAAACTCTGGGGCTTACCACAAGCTTATTAGTGATTTTAGCAGATACAAAACCGAATGTCAGTATATAAAGACAGGGATGCTTTTCAAAAAGCTGAACTGCTGATTTCTTATAGATCATTGCAGCTAGGGTAATCACCGATCCAATATGGAGAAAAGGAGAGAGGACACTTGTTCCCTGTGCAGAGTAAAGAGAGGGGAGAGATTAATGGCACTCAATATTGTCAGATACTATGTGGATCTGCTGTAAGACAGATCAGCTCAAACTTTTAAGAACCTCATGGTACCTGCCAGCCAGCAGTTCCTATAACTGAATACCAGAACAGCTAATGAAGAAAAGAGCAGCACGGGCTGGTTAGGCAAATTGAGGATTTTACTTACATGGCCAGGTTTATTTTACAAAGCAGATCATACTTCTATTTACTTTTACATTTATCTTTATTTATGTATTTGAAAGAGAGCATGAGTGGGGAAGGAGGAGAGGGAGAGGATCCCACGCAGACTCTAAGCTGAGTACGGAACCCGATGCAGGGCTCAACTGTGGACCCCCAGGTCATGACCTGAGCCAAAACTAAGAGCCAGATGCTCGACTGACTGAGCCACCCAGGGGTCCC